GCCTCGCCTCCCCTCGCCTCGCCTCCCTCCCTCCTTCCCGTCTCCCAACCAACCAAGTAAATTGCATTTGCACTTTCCCAAGGACTCACTAAAAACCGTTGAGGACCGGTTTAATTGGACAACAAAGTATTGGAGACAACATGGTGAGAGGTCTCACCATTCAATTCCGAAAAGGTTAGAACCGTAACTTTATCAAGTGTCAGACACCCGAGGTCTATGAAATGCTCAGTACTGATGGCTATGACGTGGTCATCCCACTCCCCCCGTCCTGCTGACGCAGAAGAATGCTGCCACACCCTACTTAAGCAATTCCCCCTATACGCTGAAGTCAAAGATGCTCGTCACTTTAATCCACGTATACTCATCGACACTACCGAGGGAAGACCCCACAAGCAGCTGTCATAGTTAAATGGAAGGGGAGGGAGTGCCCAACCATTGTTGATGCCCACCCAGTCCTCCCTCCACTGTACGCTGAACCATATCACCCCAGGCCTGCTTTTTGTGTCGTCGGCTCCCATTGGGGTCACACCTTCACCGCCTGCTTCCGACGTGATCGTCCCAGATGTCGCTTCTGTTTTACGTAACCATCACTCCTCCGTCAGTGCCCAAAAAATCAAAGACCACCTCAATGGGGGTGGTGTGGGCTATGTTGTTGATCCCAGGTGTTGTAATTGTGGTGGCTGGCACAATGCAATGCTGACTCACGACAATGCCCCAAACGTCCGTCTGTCCCAGGAGAAAAGCTTCCCCAAAGCCTACCGAGCCTTCAACAACAACACCAGCCCCTGCCTGGCCTCACCTGGCTGCAACACAGCAGTCCCGGCCGTCTCCTCACTCAACTACACCTTGGCCTCTTCCCTCGTCTCTACTCAGACGCTGTCAGACCTTGTGCCCTCCCCCCTCCCCACAACCCCCCCCTCCAGTGACACGACACACATCATATCCCTCTTACACGAATTTACCAACCGTTTTGAAAGACTCTTTGATACACTCTGTACCGCCATCTCCAACCTACACAGACTACCCCCTACCTCCCGCTGCTACCCAGTCACCCCTCTCTTCTGGTCTGACACAACCTGGTAGCCCCCCTGTGTGCCCCTCATGCTCATGGCCTACTCCACTGCCGCCTGGCACCATTGCCGGCGTCCACACCGAGCCTGCCACCGTCCAGACAGAGCCTGCCCCGGCTCCTCCCATCCACCCACGCACGCTCATGGACCCGAGGACACCGAGGGGGCCGGGGACCCCCTGTCCTCCCCCCGCCGGCGTGCCGGCACCTGGGGCCCATCCACTCCAGTTCTCCACATCAATTGACCACCATGCGGACATGCTAGTGGACTACGTATCTACGCCAAGAAGGACGTCCCCTACCAACCTCTCGACGTCCCCCTTGAAGCCGACACTACCGACGTACACGCCATCACAATCACACTAAAAGGTATGTCCCTCAATACTGTCAATGCCTGTGGCTATGACCTGGCACTTGACATTATTAGGGACCTGTCACGCTTTGCCATAAACAGATAAATTGTACCGGGATATTTCCCCCCGCACACTCGTCATTCTGTCACTTTATGTAACTTGCTGACAAAACTCATGACCCTTCAGGCTCTTTACGCCATAATGCATGATCATAAAAGGCAAGCTTGAACTCGGCTTGCTTCCCAGATGGGCACTGTAAATGCTTCTGCGCTTCACCTTGCACAGGATGTAAGGGGGTGCCCAATAAACTAGCCCCCTCCGGGGCAATCTAATCTGACTCTGACCAATATGTACTGTCAATGAATATGATGTATTCTTTATGTACGAACCTCTGTCCTGCGTGGGAATGAACTGTGACATTACCCACACGAATCTGATCTATGTATATATATATATATATATATATATATATATATATATATATATATATATATATATATATATATATATATATATATATATATATATATACCTGAATATAATATTTGATCTAGTAGTAGTCTAATGTGCTTATCCTTTCGATATTGGTCACATATCCATAGCCCTTATGAGAGGAAATACATACTACTTTTGAAAAAGTACTGTTTTTAAGTGTTTAGAAGTGCACCAGTTGTCAAAGTCTTTCTACAATATTGATAAGTCATAAAATGTAAGCTGATCTGAAGGAGAGATTAATTATATGAGGATATATTCTGTTTTGTATATGCATTATTAATGCAAAATAAAGTTGATTGATTGATTGATTTAGATTTATAGCTTACTAGTTGATTGCTTGATTGATATAGATTTATAGCTTACTATAACTTCATGTGTGAAGTGAGGTGTGGTGGCGTGGGTGAAGAGGAATACACTAAGGTGGTATGGACATGTCCCGAGGATGCATGAAGATAGGCTGACAAAAAAAGTTTATGATTGCAAGAGAGAGGGGAATGTTGGGAGGGGTAGATCAATTGCCACCTGGGAGAAAAGAGTTAGAGAGTTTGTTGAAGAGAGAGCGGGAAAGGGAGGAAGAGTGTTTGAGAGAGCAAGCGAGGTGTGCAAGGATGAAATGACCTGGAGACACTTCTGTTGGGGAGTTCCCGGGAGGAAACAAGGCGTCGGCGATATTGATTGATTGATTGAATGATCAAAACTGAGGTGCTAGAGTGGCGCTCCGGTGAGCTCCGGCAGCACTGCACCCCTATAAATGATAACGTAATCAGGCATTATACTATAAACTATGAAAGGTTCCCCATTAAATAAAGTAAATTTCTTTGGTAGCATCGCGATTGCATCATTTTCTCTGTTAAGGAACGTCAATTTTATGAGTAACTGTTGTGAAAGAGGGCGTTAGTGCCTGTGTTGTGGTGTAGATGGCAGCACGTGGCGGGGCGTGAGACGCACGAGGTAACAGGTGCGTTGGTAGTGGTGGTGTCTGAGGGCCTCTAACCTTCCAGAATAGCGAGAGTATTGAGTGGAAAGCGCGAGTGTTGTCGCCGCCACCACAAACACCATGAGTGCTCCTCTCAGCGGCAAACCCCACGTCTTCCTGGATGTTAAAATAGGCGAAGAAATCAGTGAGTATCTTATAATAGCATATATTTTAGCTGTCAGGCTGTTGGTTTGAAAATTATGATGAATAAAAGTGGCAGCTCCGTGACGCGTTGCCAGGAGGAAGCCCACGTGGATGTTGAAAAGATTGAAGTGTTATTTTTGCATTACCTTTATTGAACCGCTCATTGCAAATTTTAAAGTAATTATTAACTTGAACAGATTATGTAATGCTAAATTGAACTGTCTAGAAGCATCTATCTTTCTCTTCTGTAAAGATCAGTATTATAGTTTCACCATTCATGCGAGTTCCTCCGTTACATAATAGGTACGTATGTCAGTTTTTAAGCTTCACGCACTGAAAAATCAATTTACTAAAATATTGCTCTAATTTTAAGGTTATGTATAGTCTTAGATACTTCCATGGAGTGTCATATTTAGTTTTGTATAAGTGAATGTATATTTTTGAAAAGATAGATTGATAAATGTTGAATTAGACATGAAATATGTTGTGTCTTGTAGAAATAGATCTTGGCATCTCATTTGATTGCTTTGCCAGTCATTTAATTATGGTCTTGTAAGATACAAATGGAAATAAAATTTAAGTACCAAGGAAAGACCAATTATTTTATCCATATTCAGTATTTTTGCAGGTTTAAGTATCCTGTCATGATGCGGAATGAACATGCTGCAAAAACGGTAATACTAGAGCAGACGTCTTAACATAGTAAGTAGCTGTTCGATTTTGTTCATTTTTTTCCACATGTTCTGTGGATGATGGGAAGTAATAAAAACGACCCTACATTTTATTTTAATTTTAAGTTTTTATTTCTGTTTTTAAATTTTCACTACGATCATACATCACCTGTAGTGGGCAGGCTATGGAGGATGAGGGATATTGCAGGGTAAAACGCTGAAAAACTGATCACATGACTCTAAAATGATGTCTGTATGTGCTTTGTATGTGAATAAATAAATGATTTTCCATAATTGTCCACTCTTTGTTTGTATACATAAAATTACACTAGATATCAAAGTACTGTAAGTATTTTTTTTTAAATATGGCAAGGGTCCAACTCCCAGTTAGGAAGTTAGGTAAGATTCTTTGGTTGGTTAGGTCAGGTTCTATTAGTTCAGTATATTATCATTCAAAAACATATGTGGAAAAAATGAACAAAATCGAACACCATGTTCTGGTGTTAGTCATCTGCTCTAGGATAACCAAATAATCAAATTGTGAAATTCCAAATAACGTCTTATCAGGGATGCAGTGCGGTCCGACTAATTACCCAAATGTAGCCGCAATGAAGTCAAATAATGGGCCTACATGAATAAATCGGACTGCCAACCACTTCTCGACTTGTATTTGGTGTCACAAAGTCACAAAAAATTGGAAAACTTAATTTAAACTGAGTTAATAGATCGCGTGCTTGTACGGAGGGAGCGAGTAATTACCCAAATGTACCCAAATGTAGTCGCAATGAAGTCAAATGATGGTCCTACAAGCGTAAATCGGGCTGTGAATCACTTCTCTATTATTATTTGGTGTCATAAAGTCACAAAAAATTGGTAAACTTAATTTAATCCGAGTTGTGTTAGGTTAGGTACATGCACTCGATCTATTAACTCAGATTAAATTAAGTTTACCAATTTTTTGTGACTTCGTGACACCAAATACTAGTCGAGGTTAGGTTAGGTTAGGTACATGCACTCGATCTATTAACTCAGATTAAATTAAGTTTACCAATTTTTTGTGACTTCGTGACACCAAATACTAGTCGAGAAGTGATTGGCAGTCCGATTTATTCATGTAGGACCATCATTTGACTTCTTTGCGGCTACATTTGGGTAATTACTCGATCCCTCGGTACATGCACGCGTTCTATTGACTCGGATTAAATTAAGTTTTCCAATTTTTTTTTACTTTGTGACACCAAATACTAGTCGAGAAGTGATTGGCAGTCCGATTTATTCATGTAGGACCATTATTTGACTTCATTGCGGCTACATGTGGGTAATTAGTCGGACCCATGCAGTGTGCTTTAACTGGTCAGTGCTGTATTGATTGGATAGACACCAGTCATATCACAGGATCCTAAATCTTATTGTATGTAGACAATATTGAGTAGGTCTTGTTTAATTGGTTCCACCTAGTAACTGGTCTAAAACAATGCTTTTAGACAAATTTTACTTTACAAATATTGAATCTTTCAATGTGTACAGTCATCCTTTTTGTTCGTATAGTATTGTCTTTGGATTTTTGTAGATTAAAAACAATGTAGTTAAAGTAAACCTGTTTTTAACAGGAATGAACCACTGAGCAGTATTGTACTCGGTTCATTCCTTCTTGAATAGGGGAATGAAAAAAAGTTGTATACATCTGAAAGTTCCAAAGTAATACATTACAAATTAAAATTTACTTGAAGAGAATGTCATGTCCAAAAAGAAAAAACAAGTATTAAGGTGGCACCCATAAAATGTTGTTAAATATATGCCTGTAATACCAGCCAGGCCTGTAAGGGACATTTTGGACAAAACTAGTTAGGTTACACTGGGGCATGTACAATACCAATAAATATAGTGTTTTAGAGGATTAAAGGTATAACTTTTGTGACAATGAGTCCTCCAAGTTAGGTACTGGAAAGTAAAACTATATTTACTTTGTTTTAATTCCTTAAAATGGCTCCTTGTTCATTGTAGACTGGTAAATGTTTAAAGAGCAATTACTGTACTGTATTTGCATTTACATAACCCTGAGCTATTCTAGAAATAGGCAGGTATTTTGGAAATTATTATTTGTGAACTGTACCATTCATGTATTTGTGCAATTTCTGAAGTCTGAAATAATTTGCACAACCTTTCACCCCAAAACTATCTTAGTCTAACCAATCAACTCTATTCAAGTGTTGTGTTGTCATACAAATCACTTTTTGAACGGTTCTGAAAGCACACACAATTTTGTACTAGTATTCATTTTGTAGCATATACTGTACTGTAATAGGTTAGGGTAAAGTTTTTAACAATATATGAATAATTTAAAAAAAGAATAACATAGTTGTGTCGAAGAATCTATTGTCTTATAGAATTTGCTTCAGCATGTATTAAATGATACTGTAAATCATATTACCATTTAAATTTTTCCTGGCTTTCCATTTTACACATATTACAATAGGTTGAAGATCCTGTATCCAAAATTCTTGGCACCGATTGCATTTTGGCTTTAAGATATTTTCAGCTTTCAGATGCCAATGCTTACCTCATATCTGGCCAATGAAATTTTCTACGTACACCACCACTTCCCGCCTCTTACATATAAGATATGGTATATATTCAGTAAATATAATTTTGCTTAGGTATTTTTCAATACAGTACTTTAGATTTTGGTAATGTTTTGCGTGTGCCAATGTCATAGCATTGTAAATAAAACACTGAATAAATTTCAGCAATGGCATTCTCCCACACCTACAGTATTACCACCACCATCCTTGCCACATACTGTTGTTGCTGATTTACTTGTGGTTATATACTTTAAGATATTTTTCAGCTTATATAATTTTTTTTTGGGTGCAGTACTTGCTTAATGTTATAGCAGTGAGTACAGTGTACTGTACTGTAAACACAAGTTTGTGGTTTACAGGTTATGACATGTGGTGACAGCAACCCAGGTCAGCTGACTGGCCCAACCAGCTGCTCTGCAGACTTAACCTGCATTTATCTATGCTATTGCAACTTATTGCAGCTGCAGTGTTTGTTGTAGTTATGGATATGGCTTGGACCCATTGCATAGATGTGCAACATACCATAGTGATGGTGAAAATGTACACATAAAGCTTTTCATAATCCTAATTTATTGACTTAAAGATTATTAGAGTACCGTATGTTAACCCTTTCATCCAAGCTAACTTCCCAGAATTCTCTGCCATCATACACACAGTACAATAGAGTCTGTTAACAAAATAAAAACTCGGTTTTGGATCTTTTCAGGATTTCAGATAAAGGATCCTTGACCTGTAGGATTACTTTGGTGTTCTGCTTAGATTATTATCCAGGTACTCTAGCATTGCATAAGTGAGAAGCACAGAACCAAAGTAGGACAAGCGCCAGTATGCAAACTTCAATTGCATTTCTCTGTTTCATTTATGGCGCTTGTCCTACTTCGGTTCTGTGCTACTCATATGTAACCTGATTGTGAGTGAATTCCAGGAAAACATTAAATACTGTAGCAATGTTTCTGCCTTAGTAGCTATCTTGTACTTGCTGGTATTGCTAGGCATATCTCAGAATATTCTTTTACTTTTTATTTAATATACTTAGATATCCTTTGTCTTGTGAGCATTTATCATTCTGCATTGTATTGTTGTGAGTACTTGAGGGTATTCACTGTCTTGTGAATTTGAGTAAACAGTATGTATTGTCTTTGTGTAAATTTTCTTGCATTCTTTATACTCTTCACTATGTCATCTTACTAGGCGGTCGGGCAGTGAGGATACTCATTTTCTTCTTGTGAGCACTTGAGGATAATGTTTTGTCTTGTTGTGAGTACTTTGAAGATATGCATTGTATTGTTGTGAATTTGAGGATATGTATTGTCTTGTGATGACGTGAGGAGTTGCATTTTTTCTGAGCACTTGAGGATATGCATTGCCTTGTGAGTACTCAAGGATATGCATTGTCTTGTGAGTACTCAAGAATATGCATTGTCTTGTGAGTACTTGAGGATATGTGCATTCTTTTTTTGTGGACTTGAGGATAAGTTTTGTTGTCTCATGAATTTTAGGATATGCATTGTCTTGTAGGGTTTACTGCATGTACTGTACACATACATCTGTATGATTTTGGACAACATTTCTCGTCTTTGATTAGTCATTTTACTTACAAAAAAGACAGAACTTCTTTCAGTTTAAATGTAAATACACAGGCCTGCTATAGATCGTATCTCAGATTCTCAGCAGTCAGAACTCTGAACAAGGAGAACTTAGTGACATACTGGTAAGTTTAATATATGTTGATATTTCAGTTGGAAGGATTGTATTGGAACTGTTTGCCGATACCTGCCCCCGAACAGTTGAGAACTTCCGAGCCCTATGTACAGGAGAGAAAGGCATTGGCAAGAAAGGCTTTCCCTTGCACTTAAAGGGATGCACCTTTCATCGCAGTAAGTTGTCAACAAATTCTTTATATATTTTCTCTTTCTCTTGATAATTAACCCTTAAACTGTGGCCATCATTGGTGGTAATTAGCTATGGGGACAGTGGCCATCATCTGTGAAAGTTTCATATTCCTTACTTTATGTTTGTGTACATAAACTTGTGTTTTATATAGCAGTTCAGGAGTCTCTGATACAGCTTGGATATAAAATACAGCACAAGAAGAATTATTTTTCAACCATCATTGTGTTTTATAAAAAAAAAAAAATCCTGGGGTAATCTTTCAGAGATTAACCACAAGTTTAACCTGATTGCAGTTAGTCTTGGGCCTTATGTATACTGTACTCTAGATATGTAATACAAAGAATTCATGTAATACAATACAAAGAAAGCATGTGTACAGTGTAAATATATCATGTTGAAGAATAAAAAAAATCAGTTTTGGAGAAATTAGTAAAATAAAAAAACCTCTCAAGCCATACACCCCTTGTTTTCATTACTGTGCTAGTCAGTTATGGATGGTAGGCCATCATATAACACCCCTTCTGATGACTCAGGGCTGATCTTACCTTCTAAAGGCAAGAGCTACCTAGGTAGTCAGTATTCGTACTGGTACAGTACCTTCATTACAAGCTGTCATCTCTAATGTTCAAGGCAATCCACCAGTTTGCGTTAGTCCCACCAGATACGCTAAGAATGGTCTTTATAAGTTTTACTCTTCCAGGCTCTGTTTTGTCAAAGGCTAAATATATACCTCATTATGACCCCTTTTACCTCCTGTAGGTACTGTATCCTTATAATTATGACTGCTCAATAACATTGAATTTGCTGTATGGCTTGTGCTTAGCTGATTTTTCTGAGGTGTCAGGGGTTAATCATCATATGATCCTTTAGTGGGTCCAACTAACCTGTTCCAGTAAAGGAATTTAATTGACTCAGTAGAAAAATTACATTCTTGAAAGATGTATTAGGACTGAAGGATATTATTTACTAATTTAACTACAATAGATAGAACACTAATATTATATCTTTTTTCAGTTATCGAAAACTTTATGATACAGGGAGGCGACTTTACTGACCACAATGGCACTGGTGGGGAGAGTATCTATGGGGACAAATTTGAAGATGAGAACTTGGAACATAAACACACTTCAGCCGGTGTTCTCTCTATGGCTAATGCTGGACCAAACACAAATGGATCCCAATTTTTTATTACCCTGTCGGACACTCCTCATCTAGATGGGAAACATGTGGTATTTGGACGAGTAGTCAAGGGTTTGGGAGTAACGAACGTCTTGGGAAAGGTGAAAACAGATGGCGATAAGCCAGTTGAGGTACGTATACCATGTATTTATTCCAGGATTCCATAACACGGTAAACTAATGTAAATGGAACCTCACTATACAGTACCAGACTATATGGCTTGTGTATTTTTGGGGTGGGAAAACTGGAAAATTATGAAATATTCTGATTTTTAACATTATTAGTCTGATCTGTTTAATCATTTCTTGCCACTGCTACAAGGTTTATTTAGATTCAACCCAAAAGAATTGGAAAATGTAGAATATTGAAAATAAGGATAAATAACAGTCAAGTCTACTGGTTTGCGTTATGTTTTCATCAGGTAGTCATGTGGAACATGGCCTATCCCGGGGGATGCCTTGATTTGGGGGACACTGCCCACCTGGATACCTCCATATCCTCATGCACCTGATTCTTTGTGATGACCTCTTCTGTCAACATGTTAACCTTGTGTCATCTTTACTGAGTCACAATTAATTTTAAACACAAATACAGGTTGAGAATCCTGTGTCTGAAATCCTTGGGGCTGAATGTGTTACAGATTCCATAATTTTTCTGTTTTTGATATTTCAACATATTCGGCCTGGACTCGACTGAGTGCGTGGTAGGTCAACCAGTGCATTTTTTCTTTTTAAAGCATTTTAACTGCATAATGAGATATACAGCCTGCAACTAAATGTCTAACCTAGTAAAATTGTATCTTAGTCCCTATACAGTGCAGCAAGCCCTGTACAAGGATATCAAGTGGAGCCAATTTATAACGGCAGTTATAGCAGCACAACAGTTGTTTACAAATACAGAATGATAGGATATTTAATTAGACATTAAATATGTCTAATGTTTCATTTCTTAGAAAAGTATTCAATATTTTTAATGCTGTATGTTTCATGAAAATAGTTTTTAAAGGAATGATAAATATATATCAAAAGACAACAGTAGATCAGCTGATGGAAATGCACCGACAGTTCCCCCTGCCCTCAATAAAGTAGATAACCGCATGAGCGGACAATTCGTCTGTTAAAAGATATTTCACATTAATATTTATTGCCTTCCACAAATTGTCAAAGGCACGAATATGAAGTATGTGAGTAAGCAGGGATTACTGTACTGTACTGTACTCTTTAATGGTGCTCATATATAAGTTATCAGGTATGGTCATTATATAAAATTTAATATAAACAGCCAGTAAATGTCCAGATTTAATGTGTTTACAATTGTACAGTATATCTCCATTTATAAGTATTTTTATTACTTCTTTTGACCGAAAAAATTAATACTGTATGTGAATGCATATCCATTTTATTTGCTCTGAATGGTTCTTCTCTCTGTCTCTCACACCATTGCCCATAGAGGTATCTGCTGCATTTTGAGATCTTCACAATAAAATAACAGGTTGAAAGCACAAAATAAAACACAAATATCAGAATAAGGCAAGTATATCTGGCTATAAACATATTTGACAAACAATAGAGTTTCCCAGGCAAACCTCAATGGTCGGGCGTGTTCAGCTCGGCTCATGTCAACTGGTTGACCAACATTACCTATGCCTTCTAAAATTTTCTTTGGTTTGCAATGTTTTTCGGTTTTGGAAATTTCAGATAAAGGATTCTCAACCTTACTCTTAGTCTAAGAGTCATACTCTGGGCCAGTGGTTCCCAACCTCTTCTTGGTCAAGGAACCCTGTAAGCCACATGTAATGACAAATACAGTATATTACATTAAGTAAAGAAACTATCTTAATTATTTTTATGGTAAAGCAAAACTTAAAAAAGTGCCATTCATGAATTATAAACTGTTACTAAGCTATTATGTGTGTTATCATCATGACTATTATTGAATTTTGCAGAACCTTGTTCTGGGGAATCCCAGTTGGGAGCCATTGTTTTGGGCATTTTAAAAAATTCTGCAAATATGTGCTACAGTTGCTGATATTTTACTGTTATTATAATAGTGTAGTATATTTATAGAAAATATATCTACTGTATATAAAAATATCAGTGGAAATGTTTGAGTATCCATAGGCATCTTGAGCACCTCATTTTCTTTCTCTTTCAATATTTACCTTTTGACCTCTGGCAATATATGTACTTTCAGAGATGTGAAATATATGACTGTGGGGAGCTCAAATCTGGTGATTCGTTTGGTATTGTGGATGATGATGGTACAGTGGACACGTACCCCCAATTCCCAGATGATTCAGATGTTAATTTTGAAGAAGCCACTGTAAGTATATTTGCTGTAATTATTAGACTACTACCTCACACCAGTGATATTGATAGAATTTATTACAGTACAGGTATTTTAAATATCTGGAACAGTAATCATTTTTTTCTTTAAGAAGATAAGAAAGCTTGAAATGTTGTTTCTTAGATGGATGAAATTTATTCTGTATAAGTTTAAGGAGCTGCTCTTTTGACTGCAATGCAATTAGTGTTGATTTCTTAACCCTTGAACTGCGAACATGGAAAAATTGGGTGAGATATGTATGCAAAAAAAGTTTTCTATTTTTTAAAATAATATTATTTTTTTATGAAATAATACAGGCACAGTATCCAGACTTAACAGAATATGGAAAAAAAAATTCTTTATTTACCATACATTTCATCTGGTGGATTTTTTTTTTCCATGTGCAAGTTCATTATAATCACACACAACAAAGGTTAGGGGATCACTTCCCTCCTTATCACTCCCTGAACTGCGAGACATAAAAGTTATGCTCTCCATGCCTAATAAAGCCCAACTGTGGATGCTGCATATATGTCCACTCTCTTAGACCCTCATAAGACTTGTGCATTAATGAAAGTAATGTTGTGGAGTAGATGACTAGATTTTAGGCAATATATGCCATCATAATGCCATGGTTTTCAAGTTAAACTTTTTTGTTTTGTGATTGTGACAATGGATATATTATGGATTACGTATAATGTACCTACAGAAAAGGAAACTGACCATCATGCTGGAGACTTAACTTGGCATTTCTGGCTCTGTTGTGATAAACAACTGCAGAAAGGTAACATACTCTCTGTGGATAACTGGTATACTAGCCCAAAGTTTTTCATTATCTGCTTGATAGTAATACTAGTATATATGGAACTGCCAAAACAAATAGAAAAGCAATGCCAAAGCTACCAAGCATCACATGTGGTGAGCAAGTGTTATAACAGTGACAACACCTTATAAATTAAGAGATGTGACTAGTGTGTGGTTCATGTGCTTTCTACTGCTCACGGAGATGGTACGTACAGGTACTCCCCGACTTACGACCTACTCGACTTGCGTCCACCCTCACTTCGACCTGCCTCAGTCGTACCAAAATGTGGTCAAATTATGTATTTTCGAGTCCCAGTCAGTACACAGACAAAATTTTCATCTGTAATTCACTTTAAAATGGTTGGCAAGCTTAAAAGTGAGTGTTTTATGGTGCTGAGAAGAAAAAGAGACCCCCCATTTTTTATTTTTTATGTGTTATTAAGCATTTCCGACTTACGACCATTTTGACTTACTACCTGGATTTTGGTCCCTAACCCCGTCGTAAGTCAGGGAGTACCTGTATTGTACGAATGTCGGTGACGAGAGATAATAGATAACAGAGGTGAAGTACAGTAGTGATAAAACTTGTATTTTATTGTACTTATGTACTTTAAGCAAGAAAGGTTAAATTAAAACTGAAAAACTCAGTACTGTAGTATAATCGTGTGTCTAGCAGTGCTGCCCTGCTACTAAAATGGTGATTCTTATGCTGCATAGTAACTAAGGAAGGGTGTTTTGAGATGAGTTCAACATTTTCATATTCACCAAATTTAAAATAAGAAATTTTCCGCCCCTGAATACCCAAAATTTTGCCATACAGGGTGGGTGCTGGATAAGCCAGCTACAGTGAAAGGCTTATAAAAATTAATGTTCAATACTTAATAGTTTGTGATAATTAGACTCATTGCTGCAGCTCTTGCTAACCTTCTGGGGTCAGCTGTTTTGTTTCTACACACTTGCCAGTCCACCAAGCACTGGGGTGTGGAACATATATGTTTTGTTTTATAATGGTAATCGTGAATATACTGTATGATACTGACATTCACATAAATATTTTCTTTTCCTTTTCTGCTTCATTGATCCTTATTTTCTTAATATTGAGAGTAAATATTGTTTGTAAATCTGAGGTCGCATTCATATACATCCAGTCAGGTTGTGGAAGGCCTGCTCATAATATCAAAGTATCATAACCCAAACGTTCATTAACTAAGGTGTACTCATATGGATTTATAGTTAAATATCTTGATAGCTGTTGGAATTTTCTTGAAAAAAGTAATTAATGTTCAAATGAAATTTTCTGGAGGTTAAAAAATTAGGGTGTGTACCTTACTCAATGTTCTATGTGGTTTTATACTTTGTACCTGGCAGGGATTTCATCAACATGAAAACTGCTTTTGTATATAGAAAAGTGGTCCCTAATTTGTCTATTTAGTTTGAGAAATTTGGCATACCAAAAGTTGGTATATAGAGTAATATCCATAATTTGTTGTAAAACTTGAAAGGAGTGCCATTACAAGGAAGATGTGATTACAAATGAATGGTCAGTGACCATGTTTGGCCTTTCTGTAGTGACTATCATCATGAGCATTTTATGGCCAATTTCCACCCTTGAATTGGTTAGCAGTGATTACCTGTTGGCAGCTTTTGGGCAAGACAAGACTAGGACTCCCACCTGCCCCCCCACACACACACACACACACACTTCAAACCCAGTGTACCAGCCTAGAAAATGCAGCAGCTCTGGGTGCCATTCTGGTGACCCAGTTGCCATCAGGCATGTTGAAGTAAAGTTTTACAGCTGGATGCCCTTCATAACACCAACCCGCAAGGTGGGAACAGCTGACAGGACACCTTACTAGAACACTGAATATGATAGTCACATTGAATCATAGAGTAAGTTTGTTTTTAGTACTTGTCTGTTCATGAAGTATGAAATTTCAATTCCAGATGGATGAACTAGCCAAAGTGGTGAATAATATAAAAGATGCAGGAAATACTTTCTTCAAAAAGCAGGAGTATAATACTGCCATCAAGAAATACCAAAAGAGTCTGTCATATGTCAACTAGTAAGTGGCTTTAGAAGTTCTGCTAATTAAGGACAATTTATGATGAAGGGTTAATATAAACAGAATCGTATAACAACTTTCTCTATATTGTTGTGTACTTGTAATGAGTGTGACGTGGATAAACAGAATATAGTAATGGTAGTATGGAGATATTTTTTTTCCAATATCCTAATTTACCACGTGTACATAATTAAGTACATATGTTATAATTTTATTTCTATCCGTAGTATAAAGGAATATAACACGTCAAAGCGCTCCGACTTCTCTGATGCTGATGCCAACACCTTAGACAGCTTGGCTGTGTCATGCCTTCTAAACCATGCACTGTGTTCGTCCAAGCTGGGCTGGTTCGATAAAGCTATCTCAGACTGTAGTAAAGTAAGTTAAGCTCTTTTTTTATACTTTTTACTTTAGGTGTTCTACAGTGGCAGGCTGTGAGAATTAGAAATGAGTTTTTTAAATGGAAACTTTAGGGTCAATCAGGTCATAGAATTTTTCTCCCTATACATGTACAGTGGTCCCTCAATTAACGAATGGTTCAATTAACGAAATTTCGGTTAACGAATTAGCTCCCATAAGGATTTTCAGTTCCAATAACGAACAAAATTTTGATTAACGACAGCCTTACGAGAAACACGCTTTATTGTGGGCATCAGCTGATTGGCTAGTCCGCCAATACAGTAATTGGTTCTATGTTTACATTTGTTACCAGTGGAGTAAATATCAAGAAAGTTGTGCTCTTGAATGTTTTTGCATTTTTTTTATTAAAATTATTGGTCATTCTCAAATTTAGTTGACATATTGATAATATATACAGTACAGGAAACAGTTTTTGTGTGCCCTTCAGCTGATCGAATCACCCATCAATGCTTCTCAGTTTAACTTTGTTTACAGTGGAGTGAACAGCGAGTTTGTTGGTCTCTTGAATATTTTTGTATATTTTTACATTAAAATTATTGGTCATTCTGAAATTTAGTTAACATATTGACAATAAACAGTGCTGAAATTATTATGAAACATGAAGAAGGCATTAGAACCAATGCACTCTGTAAAGAATATGGCATGTCATCATCGACTGCCTCTACAATCAGCTGTTTGATATGTAAACAAAGCTGTCGGGAATACGACATGCACACCTGAAAGTAATTTAAATTATAGTATTCTTTTGTTTTTATTTACTATTGTACAGTACTGTATTTAGTTTACAGTATATTTAATGTTTTGTTAATTCTATTACCGGTGTACAGTACTTTGTATGTATACTTTTTCTGTGAGTTGGAACCAATTACCCAATATCTCATTGGAATAATAGATTCAGTTAACAAAATTTTCGGTTAACAACCAACTCTGTGGAACCAATTGTGTTCGTTAATCGTGGGACCACTGCACGATACTCATTAATTGGTGACCTTTTCTTGCATTATAAGGTTAAAGCTTAGAAATAGAGCTATGATGTACATGCATTCAGTATAACTGAAGAGTAGAACAAGCTTATGCATTCAAAATTTCACTATACTTTACACACATGGAGAGGGTTTAGTCATAGGTTGGTGATCTTGACCTCTTTCAAGATCACAAAGGCCAGTCTTAACAGTTCTTTGAAAAAAGAAACCAAATTAATTTTCATTGCATATATTGTGTAAAATTTTGCAGTGAGAGGTGATGTGAACCTCGGGAAGATGCCAAGACAACATAATACATATACTGTACAGTATAAGCAAGGCTTAGAATGCTATTGTATTATGTAATACAGTGTAGTAACAAATACTAATCATATTGTATTTTGACTAGCAAATCATTCTCTCCAAAAGAACTAGTAGGCCTATGCAGCATTTACAAAATTAGTTTATTGAGTACTTGAAATTAGCAGATTACAGTACTTGAAATTATATTCATCAGTGGGGTAAAAACAAAATTCCAATAGATTTGGAAAATATTCCATGAATTTAGATTTTAAAATTATTTTATTTTTGCTTTGCAAAGTATTCTTTACATTACTTTTTGAGCTCTTATAAAAGGAACTTGTGAAAGGGGCTTATGGCTAAGAGCAAAGAAGTTTATAAAGGTGGCATGAGAGAATAAGAAGTGAAAGATTGGTAATGACCATGTATGATTCAGAGGTGGTGTAGAAGAGAAAGGGGAAGACGGCAAAAGTGGCAAAATTTACATGTCTATTAATTAGGCCTTACATTGATTTTCTTTACACAGAGCTGTTACCATGAATTTATGAGTTGACTCTAAAATAATGAGACTAATTTTATAGCAAACATACCTGAACTTATACTGTCCATCCACATGATTATTGCCCTTTTTAGGAAAAATACCTACCTGAAATTATACCTTGGGAGGCTGTAGTACTATTCCAACAATGCTGCCATTGCTCAAATCATTGGGTAATTTCTCTATCAGATTTGCCCACAGAGCTTGTGTTACACTCTTGACTATCCTCAATGATGGCAGAATTCATCCCACAAAAGAAAAAAACATTCAAACAGGCATATCATGTAGGAATTCTGAAGCATGTAAGGTATTCTATATAACATATCAGGAATGAACTGAGGTTAATGTTTCTTCACCATAATGATGATAATGTTTACAATAAGCTTAATGCAACACAGCTTTTGACCACAAATGGTATTACCCAGCTTAGCTTAATCACCCACCTTATTACCGAGCTTGATCACCCAACTTATTACCCAGCTTAATCACTCACCTTATTACCCAGCTTGTTCACCCACCTTACTATCCGGCTTATTTGCCAGACTTGGCTCCAATTGACTTTTGGCAGTTTCCAACAATAAAATCTCCCGTCACAGGAAAAAGATTTGCCATCATTGAGGATAAGCAGTTCCCAAAATATTTTGAGCAATGGCAGCATCATTGGAGTAAAGGTACAGTACTGTACAATATAATCTCCCAAGGTGTTTATTTTGAAGGGAATGACACTCATTTGAATGTTTAAAATCAGGTATGTTTGCTAAACAATGTCTCATTACTTTATAGTTACACCTCATACATCCATTATTTTCTCCAAACAAGGTCATCTTAGGGTGCGTCTTCACTTGAGCATTTTAGCCCGAACGAACCAAACGAGCAGAATTCGGCTAGTAAGGACGTGTCTCTGAGCCGAACTGAGCGCGTCAGACATTTTCCGTCGCTTGTCGGTAGATAGTGTGGGCTGAAAAAGATTCAGTTGCTCATTGGTGCGCAGTCAGGACGGGTGTTCACGCTGTTCCAGCTATTCGGTGTGTTATGAAGTGGGACAGGGAGAAATTTTTCACTTTACCGGTTGAATATGAGAAGTATCCTGAGCTGTGGAATCCCCAACATTCGTAACATATAACATTGAATAAATGTTTCCCTTAGATTATTATCGTTTATTACTTTATTTCCTACACACATTATTAGGGTAGCCCGCAACTTTACAAACACGTGTAGTATTTACGTATACCAACATCCAGTAGAAAGTCGATATAAATACTACAGTAAACAGACCATTTCGCATCACTTAATTTTAGCTGTGTTGATTTATGAGTGTTGGTTTTAATATAATACTACAAAAAACAATGTTTTGTTTATTCTAGGAGATGGGCCGAGTTGCATGTGGGTAGACTCAAAGTCCTTTTAGTATTTTGTGTTTCTCTCAAGTACCAAACTAAATTGTTCCGTTGAAACAACACTTGGATTTAGTGCTAATTCGGCTTAAAGTGTGACCTCTCCTGGAGATACAGTGATGTTCTATTGTATTAATATGCTAATAAGGTCCTTATTATTACAAAAGTAATGTTTTTGTATTACCTTTATATATATCCTTCAGGGCCTCAATCAAAGCGTTGCATGTTTCTGCGATTATCACACTTATGCATTGCTTGGATATTTTGAATAAATACTGCAGGCTGGTATAGGAGTCCCCTGTGGCTAGAAAGTGTAGTTACAGCCAAACAATGTTTGACCGGTATGGCTTTTGGCCTATTTCCAAACCAATGTTTACGTATCTCATGCCTAAATCTAAATTTGTCTAATTTAAAACCATTGTTACAAGTTTGTTCCTGGCTGGATAGTTTGAGTACCTTTGTTATACATACATTTGTTTAGCCCTGACTTCCATTTATATACCTTGATCATGTCGCCCCTCACTCTACGTCTCTCAAGGAAGTGCAGATTAAGATGCTTTAACCCTTAGGCCCCAGGTGACGTTCCAGAACGTCCGACCAGCACTCCTCGGGTGGCGTTCTAGAACGTCCGCCTATTCCCGCCACTTTTTAACTGCCCAGCGTGGGTTATCAGGTTCCAGTGTGACTATTTGCCTGTCACACCACACCCTCGGCCACAGGGAAGCTTCCTGAACATAATTACCTACTTTTGTTTGTTTCATTTTCATTGTTTGTCTATTTTATCATGTTATATCAAAGTAATATTGCTAAAAGTAGTGTAGTTGTAGTGTAGTATTACTGTAAAATAATGCTATGATTATGTTATAACTGTATTTATTTCTGGAATTATTATTTTATGAATTACTTGCTCTACCAAACACAAAGACAGCCAGACAGACTGGTGACCGACAGGTGAGTGTTGCCAACTACTTTTTATGAAAAATAATGCAAATAAAATATTCTAAATGAATTATTTATAGTAAATAATTATTAAGATCAGTAAATATATGCATTTGGCCACCTCAGACACAGAGGCAAGCTAAAAATGGCTGCAAAGTACTTAAGGACTACAGCTGTCAACCAACGCTGTCTCCATATCCCCCCCCCCCCTCCTCCCTCCCTCTGCACAACCAGGGAAGTTTCTAGAGTGTCAATATATAGTTTTTCTTACTAATTTTTTATTGTTTTATCATTTAAAAAGGTTAAAAATTATTTTTGGAAAAGTTGATATTTCTGGATTTATCCCCATGGTGGGGGTATTATCAGCGGCACCCTAACCCAGGGCTTAAGGGTTAACCTGTCTCTGTACTCAAGTTTCCTAATGCCCAGGATTAGTCTTGTCATTCTCCTCTGAATTCTTTCTAAGGATTCTATGTCCATTCCGTAGTACGGTGACCAGAACTGAACTGTGTAATCCAAGTGAGGTCTCACAAGCGCAAGATATAGTTTTAGGATAACCTCGCTAGTCTTGTAACTAACTCTCCTTTGTATGAAGTACTTTGTATCCTTCTTTATAATTCTTGGTCCTACAAAGTCCTCTGGTGTCATTCGAGAAAAGTTTTTTAAATGGCCATGATCCATTTCAGTCAACAGGGACATATTATTTCCATCCAGTAAATAGTCCCCTTAACCACACTCTTTTAGATTTCTTCTTCCTTTTGGCTAAGGAGTAAATAATGAAGAATGCACCTGCTTCCACTGTGAGATCCATCATTCAACTAAGGAAAACGGTGGGAATAAGACGAGCACCGTTGAACATGCAGAATACAGAGAGCTTGTACTCGAACTGCTCTTTCGGTTTGTTCATGCGTTGTCTGATCGTTTGGTTCGTTTATGCATTGTCTGCTCATTTGGTTCATTCAGGCTAAAATGGTCAAGGGAAGACGCACCATTAGGTATTGAAAAAAGGTCACCTACCTGCTCTGAGGTTCTATACTGCCTCTCATGTTCAATTTCTTCTTCATCAGGCGCTCGAATTGGACAATACGAACCCAAAAGCGTACTTCCGTCGTGGTCAGGCATACAATTTGAGCAACGACACAGATGCTGCTAAAGCTGACCTCGAGAAAGCGAGAGAACTTGAGCCAAACGATAAAGGTATATTAAAGGAATTGGACACGGTCGTAAAAAAGATCAAGGCACAAAGGGAGAAAGAGAAGAAAATATATGCTAAGCTTTTCCAGTGAATCCAAAGCGTATCAGAACAAAATTAATGTGTTGTTTTTCAGGTACTTAATTAATGTTTTAACGTATTTGTGAATAAAAGTGTGTTGTGTTTTGTACCAGTATTGTCATACAAGCTGTAATAAAAAGCCATGCAAAATTATTTTTACTGTATCCTTGCACCATATATGTAAAACTATGTTCCTCAGTACCATGTGAATAGTATTGTTTTAACTATGACTTTATAATGTCTTTTATCATATCAGTTAAATGTGCACATTAATGCTACAAGACTATATACAGTATTTATGGTACTGTACCAGAAACTTATTTTTGATATGTCTTTCAAAGATATTTACTACGGTTTAAAAACATAAATACCCATAGTTTGGACATTTGATTAAATAAAAAGGAGTTGTGAGTAATTACATCTTTTGTTGGATGTGAGGTTATACAGTACATGTTTTGAGTAATCGTGAGGAGAATTTTGTTGCTCGTTACATTCCCGAGGCAGATGTATCTCCATCAGTCATACAGTAAGGTAAAACGCTGCATGATGTCATAACCACTGAATACTTAGCCGGTTACTGAAGTTTACAGTATTCAGACTTAAAAATTGACAGTAATATCCAATGGCAATACAGGTATTTCTCCAATTTACCCATGGGTATCAACAATGAGTTCTCGTGTTGACCTTTACATTCCAATTCAGATGTTATAATGACCAATTAGTGTTTTTTAGTGGTTGTACTGTATATCAAAGTAAACTAGTGAGAGAGTGTAATGCATATTCCTTTCTGCATCTTTGTTAATGTTAGCTTATTATAATGGAGACCAGTAAAGGTACATAGATATCGCACGAAGCTCACTGTCCAGCTTAGTGTTTCCATGGGGAATCATGCTTAGTATTGTTCCCTGTTACCTGTCTTTCTCAGCATAGAGGAAGTAAATGATAGTGTCATGGAAATTTGGTTTAAGTATAAACTTCAGTAAGGCAATCCACTTTTGTGAACTGGGGATTCTGATGTTTATTATCAGATGCATAATTGGGTGGGAGATTGTATTGGCAGTTTATTGATGCCATTTTTTTATGGTTTAAGTTCCGTAGATCTAATATTTAGCTACCCGACAATAACCAGATCATGAGCTGCTGTGGTTAATTTCTCTTTTCATCAAAAGCACATTTTATGTTATTTATTCCATTTTGACTTCCATGCCATTTATCGTACACTCTTTTTGCTTTTTCAGACATTAGTTTTCATAGGAAATTTCACTTGTTTCAGCATGGAAAATAGCCATAAAATAATGGTGAAAATGCCCACAAGCTCAAATATTGCCTATATAATGGTTTTAAAATTTTACAGTAAAGGACATGTTTAGAATGAACTTGCAAATTAACCCTCGAGCTACATCCAGAATAATACACAAGCACCAAGAAATGACCTCGAAAACCCTTAAGTGGCTAGTAATTAGCTTTGCAAAAGTATTCTGGGGCAGAATCTTACCATCTTTGGGGACAGACTTCAGTCTTTGGGGACAGTCTTCTACCGTCTCCTGGGGCAGAATCCTATCCTATTTTATTCTGGGGGCGGAATCCTACCGTATTCTGGGGCAAAACCCTACCATCTTCTGGTTATCTACTTATAGAAAACGGGAAATTTGTATCATAGAAAATGGGAAATGATCTATTTTCCGGGAAAGTTGGTTATCTACTTCCCGAAAAGTAGATTATCTACTTTAAGGGAAAGTAGATTATCGACTTTTTGAGACATATTACCTAATTTTCAGAAGCAGATTATCATAGAAAACGGGAAATTTGTATCACAGAAAATGAGAAATATCTACTTTCTGGGTAAGTTGTTTATCTACTTGTCAAAACAGTACCTAATTTTCGAAGTAGATTATCATAAAACGGGAATTTGTATCATAGAAAATGGGAAATATCCTTTCCGGGAAAGTTGGTTATCTACTTTCCGAAAAGTAGATTATACTTTTCGATAAAGTAGATTATCGACTTTTCGTAAATGAATTTTCGACTTTTGAAATATTACCTAATTTTCCAAAGTAGATTATCATAGAAAACAGGAAATTTGCATCATAGAAATGGGAAATATTCTACTTTCGGAAGTTGGTTTATCTACTTTCCTGAAAAAGTAGATTATCTACTTTTCGAAAATAGATTATCGACTTTTTGAAATGAATTATCGACTTTTGGGAAATATTACTTATTTTCGAAAGTAGATTATCATAGAAAACGAAATTTGTATCACAGAAAATGGGAAATATCTACTTTCCGGGAAAGTTGGTTATCTACTTATCAACGGAAATTTATCATATAAATGGAAATATCTACTTTCTGGGAAAGTTGATTTATCTTTCCCGAAAAGTAGATTATCTACTTTCGTAGATTATCGACTTTTGGAAAGTAGATTATCGACTTTTGAAATATTGCCCTAATTCCGATAGATTATCATAGGAAACGAAATTTGTATCACAGAAAATGGAAATATCTTCTCCGGAAAGTTGATTTATCTACTTTCGAAAGAGTAGATTATCTACTAAAGTAGATTATCGACTTTTTTGGGAAGTAGATTATCGACTTTTGAAATATTCTAATTTTCCGAAAGTAGATTATCTATAGGAAACGGGAAATTGTATCATAGAAATGGGAAATATCTACTTTCTGGGAAAGTTGGTTTTTTTTGGGGGTTTGTTGTGGGTTTGTTTTGGGTTGGTTTTTTTTGTGGGATATCTACTTTCCGGGAAGTTGGTTATCTACTTTTCGTAGATTTGTAAGTAGGTATCGACTTTTCGAGATTGATTTTCGGGTTTAAATATTACCTAATTTTCCGAAGTAGATTATCATAAAACGGGAAATTTGTATCTGAAAGATGGAATATCTACTTTCCGGGAAAGTTGGTTGTCTATTTTCCCGAAAAGTAGATATTTACTTTTTAAAAGTAGGTATCGCTTTTCGGGAAGTAGATTTTTTCTGACTTTTTGAAATATTGCAATTTTGCAAAGTAGATTATCATAGAAACGAAATTTGTATAGAAAATGGGAAATATCTACTTTTTCCGGGTTGATTTATTTTCTCGAAAAGTAGGTATCTACTTCGGTAAAGTAGATTATCGACTTTTAAGTAGATTTTTCGACTTTGGAAATTTTGCCTAATTTTTCGAAGTAGATTATCATGAAAACGGGAAATTTGTATCTGAAAATGGGAAATATCTACTTTCCGGGAAAGTTGGTTTGTTTTTCCTGAAAGTAGATTATCTACTTTTGATAAAGTAGATTATCGACTTTCGGGAAGTGTTACTATTTTGAAATATTGCAAATTTTGCAAAGTAGTTATCATAGAAACGGGAGAATTTGTATCATAGAAATTGGGAAATATCTACTTTCATAGGAAAATTTGGTTATCTGCTTTTGAAAAAGTGAATTATCTACCGAAAGTAGATTATCGACTTTGGGAAGATTATCGCTTTTGAAATATTACTAATTTTCTGAAGTAGATTATCATAGAAAACGGAAATTTGCATCGCCAAAGGCGAAATATCTACTTTCCGGGAAAGTTGGTTATCTTTCGAAAGTGAATTATCAACTTTCGAGAAAGTAGATTATCGACTTTTTGATGAATTGTATGAAGCTTTTGGGGAAATATTACCTAATTTTCGAAAGTGAATTATAAAACAGGAAATTTGTATCATAATAAATATCTACTTTCAAGAAAATTGGTTATCTACTTTCCCGAAATGAATTATCTACACGATAAATTATCGCTTTTTGGGGAAGTAGATTTTTCTACGACACTAAGGAAATATTACCTAAATTTTAAAAGTAGACTATCATAAAAAACGAAAATTTGTATCACAGAAAATGGGAAATATCTACTTTCCGGAAAGTTGGTTATCTACTTTCCCGAAAAGTAGCGATTATCTACTTTTCGATAAATGAATTATCGACTTTTGGGGAAGTAGATTATCGCTGGGGAAATATTACCTAATTTTCTGAAGTAGATATCATAGAAACGGAAATTTGCATCATAGAAATAGGAAATATCTA